TCTTGTCAAAACTCTTTTTTCTCTATCATTTATTGCATCATATGAAATTTTGAAACATTCAGCTCTCAGCATTATTCCTCTGTGCGTTCAGCATGCATGCTGGGCATGTTAACATGTGCAGCAGAGTTGGAGGTCGAGTTACATTTTTTGTTATTTTGATCATTGCAGAATGGATTGGGTTGAAATTGAAATGCAATAATGACACTAGTTAACTGCAACGTTTTCATCCTTCTGAAATTTGATACAGAGTTGCTAAATCCTTCTGCAGATCTAGTGTGAATTAATGGCTCCAAACCTGAAGCTCCCAGAGATCTGGCTGGCACCAACTGGATTTTAATTACGTGCACACGCTGGTTTAGTTATTCTGGTAGCTGGTAAAATGAGTGTAACAAGTTAATTCTTTCAGATTAGGAGAAGAAAAAAAATACTGATCCTGTTTTCAGATGAGGGGGAAAAAAAGGAAATCTTGATTTTATTTTTTCCAAAGGAAAAAGAAAGGAAGGTATGTAGATATTACAAGAAAGAAAGTCAGTGAAAGGATACAAAGAGACAAAATAAGTAGATTGCATGGAAAGGAGTAAAGAAATAAAAATTATGTTGGAAAAATCAACTGGAAAATGCATTCTGTTTTATAAGCAGAAAAGATTAAGATAGAAAACTTGAACAGTACAGGTGCATTAAAACACCAAATGCTGTGCAAAGGGACAAGAAGTAAAAGTAATGAAAGGGGAAGACATAATTTTAAATTGAAGGGAGAGATAAGTGCATATGATATTTTAAAATAATTTCTCTCTAATAATCAGCAGCATATATTTGAGTTTGTCCTTAAAAATTACTTAGATTTTAATAAATACAGAATTAGTGTTACCAAAAATCACATCACTGTGATCAGCACTGTCACTAAAAACACAGGTAAGGGTTATCAAAGTTTTATTTATGTAACCCTTCATTTTTATTTAATTTAATTTAAAAAAAAAAAGTCCACAAGCCAAAGATTGAACACTGTGAACACCATTAATTCTTTAATAGCATCTTAAATTTAGGAGACTGACGGATAAACAGAATAATTATATCAACGTGAAAATTAATTCTTTGAAGTAATATTGTTGCCTTAAGGCATTTCTCTATGCAGGAAGCCAGGAAGGAAACCACAATCTTTGGAAATGTTTGTAGATGCCAGTGACTGGTCAGCTCCTGATCCATTGCTATGTCACCTGCACAGCATCCTCCTGGAGCCCTTTCCATGTCATTCAATTCTAATTTACCATCAGCTATCATAGCTTTACCATGCACATTCTGAAATTGGCACTGCAGGCTTGACATAAAACCACAAAGGTGACTAAATTCCAAGTTAAAGCTGAAATTTCATTCTCAGTTCTCTTGGTTGTGGGGGTGCTGTGGAGCACGTGGGAACACCCAGTGTTTGAAGCCCCAGCTGGACCCACACACAGAAGGGCAAGCTGAGAGTGGAATTTCAGCCCAAGCCCTACAGTTAAAGCCACGTAGCTGTTTGTGGTTGGATTTCTCCTGTGTTGCACTGTTAGAGGCAAAAATAAGCCCAAGTCAATCCCAGAGTTATTTTAAACTATGCTTACAAGAATCTTGTGGTAGTAGTAATAGATTCTTCTCATCCATTGTGCCTCTGAAATTTAAATTTTTGTGTCCAGTTTGCCTTGAGTTTGCACTGTTGGAAACTGCTTAGGTGTTAGGTTACAGATACCTTAATATCTGAGGTTCAGCCTGAAATACATAATTATTTATGTAATAAATAAATAGTATTACTATTACAGTATACTTACAGTATACCTGTCTTTACTTGAAACTCATTTTGTGGAATAAAAGAGTAAAATTGCTTTTTGCCCAATACATGCATTTTTATGAGCAAAATGAGCTTTCACAGTGTTTTTTTTAAATGTCAGGAATGTCAAATCTTTTTTATCTGAAGGACTCATTGGATGACTCAGGAAAAGCTACTTAGAAATTAGTCAGGATTTAATTGAAGTGGGAAGGATACTGAATTGTGAAGAGAGAGCTCTCTCCCCTCTGCACTCATTAGATTGGTACTTTAAAAGAAGATCAATCTTAATTTTAAGTGATTGAATCAGCCTTTTCTTCAAAATATAATTTTTATTTAATCTTTGGTTAGGCACTTGGAATAATGATTAGAATAGTTATTCAAACATTTATCTCTTCTAAGAAAAAAATGGGAGTTATGCTTATAAGTTGGGTTTGGGGTGTTTTTTTCAAAAAAAAAAAAGGAGCTTCCTGCTTCTTCCTGCTTCTTGTATTTCTATCCCTTACCAGCTGTCTTTGGTGGGTCTGGCATCCCTGCTTATTGAAGACTTGGAGAGGTATGTATTGGTGAAGAAAATAATAGTGAATGAGAGGGAGGGATACAGCTTTCAAATGAGGTGGTAGCTGATCTAGCTGAGCTCATGCTCATGTCCTGAAGGGTATTCTTTGCAGATGACAAATTTCTTTAAGAGTGACAGGATGTCAAGAATTTTGCAAAAGCTTAGAAAAAAAAGTAAGAGATGGCACAGCTGATTTATTTCATCCTGTTTCATCCTCATTTGTACTAGTTTTGAAGCTGATGTTTGTAAGAAGTTAGCCATGGATGTTTTGCAAATCAGGGATGCCAGTTTCACAAAAAGAAAGGGATTTGATGAGTCCATAATCACATCAGAGTTAATATGTGAACATGTGAACACAGAATCTCAGAACATGCTGAGTTTGAAGGGATCCATCAGGATCGTCAAGTCCAACTCCTGGCCCTTCAAGGACACCCATGTCACACCATGTGCCAGAGCACGCTGTGCAAATGCTCCTTGAGCTCTGCCAGGCTGGTGCTGTGACCGCTTCCCTGGGGAGCCTGTTCCAGTGCCCAAACACCCTCTGGGTGAAGAACTTTCTCCTAATGCCCAACCTGAACCTCCTGTGACACAGCTTCAGGCCATTCCCTCAGGTCTGGCACTGCTCACCACAGAGCAGAGATCAGTGCCTGCCCCTCCTCGTCCCCTCACAAGGAAGCTGCAGACTGCAGTGAGGTCTCTCCTCAGTCTCCTCCTCTCCAGGCTGAACACACCAAGTGACCTAAGCCACTCCACATATGACTTTTCCTAAAGGCCCTTCCCCATCTTTGTTGCCCTGCTTTGGACAATCTCTTAACAGTTTAATACCTTTCTTATATGGTGGTGACTAAAACTGGTACCTATGTATTTCAGTTAAAATTGTTGACTGCTGAAGTTCAGTGTTCTGTTATCAGTAACAAATTTAACTTTAGTCAGAATTCAGATAAATGCTGCAAGACTTAAGAAACTTGAAAATCCAGTTGGTTTGAACATGTAGAATTTACTTTTTACTTCTTGTCTAAACTTTTTTATTTCTGTATTTTTGCAGAAAGATTGCTTTTCATTATATCATTTTGGTTAAAGGACAACTGTGAAACCGTTTTGCACATTTTTTTTTTTTTAATTTGCCATTGGGGAAAAATGGCTTTTGTTACTGTGAGAAGGATGTGATTTTAATAAGAATGCAGCATGTTAATACCCAGCAGCCATGAAATATTCATTTGAGATTTGCGGCATTTGTTGAGTCTTGTTAACTAAGCAGTTATGGAGTCACTTGTCCCCTAAAGTTTTAAAAAGGATAAAGCTACATTTGTTGCTACATTTGATTTGTTTTTAAGCAGTATTTTCCAGAACATGCTGGTCTGAGCAGCAGCAGTGCACTTGGGTTGTAGGCCATGATGGAGCTCTATACTGTAAGAAGCTTAAAATAGTTCTGTCTAAATCAAAGCAAGTCTTGGCTTCAGATATTTAGAGTTAGCCCATATTTTCCGTACATATCAGAATATGACTGTTTTAAATCTAAATTATGAGGTTGTTTTTTTTTTTCTTGTTGTTAGTTCCGTCCCACCCTTCATTGAAACCTGAGGTTTGAGTCAAACAAACATGCTGCAAGGGAAAACTAAGACTGACTGTAACAGGTGCTTGTAGCCTGTCATTCAGTGAAATACTTTAACAAGTCCTTAATGCTAACACAGAGCTGCAGGACATGGGATTAAATGGCAAGTTGAAGTCTTCTATTTAGAAATACAATAATGTATAATACAATATGTGATGGTAATTTTTCCATGATTAATTTTCAAATACACACAGTGTGTGTTCTGAATCTTAGGGTTTCTTGTTTTCCTGTTGTCACTTACCGTCTCTGAAATCCTAAAGTATAAATATCTCTGTTTCACTGGGTCTGTGTCCTCTTTTGCTGCCAGTAAGTGCTGGTGCTACTCATCAGAGTACTGTCAACTCATATGGTTTTCATCCTGAGTCTTTCAATATTAATGAGGAGAGAGTGAAGTTGGAGATTTTTTGTTTGCTTGACTAATTGAATCTTTGGGTTCGGTGGTATGATCTCTGACTCTTTTTGTTGGTGTTTTCATTGCTTTTCCCATTTTTTGACTTCTCTGAAAGACAGGCCCATATTTAAACTAGAACATCGTTATCCTCCCATGTTAGGATTTGCTTCACAGTTCAAAAATTCACTTCAGGATTGGCTTATTTGCATGGATACACAGCACATTTCAACCTTTGCTGAGCCAGCCACTAACCTGGCGAAATACTGTTTACTGTTTGGTGGGTTTAGGGTTTTGTTGAGTTAGCAAGCTGAATTTGGCTCAGCAAGAGCCCAAGTAGCTGAGCTGGCAGACAAGGAGGTGCAGGAATACATGGCTGAGAGCAAGGGAGTGGGAAGCAGGATCAGCCTTTGGTGACATCGAGCCATTAATTTGGCACACCTGTCTTGTTAAAGCATGCTCTCAGTGAAGCCAAAAAATGTTTATAAGCATGTCATTATTTAAGACTGTGCTATAAAAGCTTTATTGCTGGTAGCTTTTTGTTGTGGCTACCCACAAAATACTGGGGTTGATCAAGATTGGGTATAAGGTTTTTTCTAATTACATCTTTGGTCTACAAATGTGGTGGACTTTTTTTCTTTTTCAGAAGGAAGATGTCATTCATGCAGACGTGGATGAAAGACTGTCTCTTCGAAAGCACCGCTTCATGCATTTTGCATCGTTGGAATATGAAGGGGAATATTACATGACACCAAGAGATTTCTTGTTCTCAGTAATGTTTGATCAAGTTGAACGTAAGTTGTTTTCTTGTTACCGTATTTGTGAAGGAAAAGAATCTTGCTGGTCCCCTTAGAGATGTCATTTGCAAATCGCTGGGATAAGATCCTTTATGTTACATAAATCACTAGAAGCCAATATTTAAATGTTGCCCGTATGGATGCTCACAGACACTGCTACCCTTTACACAAGTGAAGTGAGGCTGATGATTTAGAAATCTGATGACTTGCTAATGACATCTCTGCATAATTTACATGACTGATCAGTATGTAGTTCCTCAATTGCTTACATGCCACAGAAAATAGAATGAGTGTATTATAATAGTGTTCATACCATTCCTGGTCCTGTTATCTTCTATCCACTTCACCAGCAAGTAATTCTGTGACCTTTTTTCTTAGAGGAGGTAGTGATGGGAGTGAGTTGAACGAGAATAGTAGAGCCCAGAGTTCAGTTCTACATTGTTGATTTTAAATCTCCTTTGATTTTTACATAACCTAGTTAAGAACAAATCATAATCACAAGTGTCTTTCCAAGAAGTACTTTTAAAAGTGCACTTTCTGAGGAGAAAATAGGAACAGCACACAAATAAAAAGTGCATAGGTTGTTGTCCTTTTCTGCAGGTTTTCTGGCTTCATTAATTCTGTCCCATTCCTTAGACTTCTTTCATCTTTGTATCTTCTTCTGTTATTTCCATGTTACAGTTATGTTATATGCTTCTTTCCTAAAAAAAAAAATTGGGTTTTACAGTTTTCCCACGTTTTTTGGTTTTTTTTTTTGCTTTTGAAAGGTTAAGGTTTTCTGTTTCCAGAGAAGATTGTCACTTAGAGGACAAATACTCTATTAGTTCATCTGTTGAGGGAAAGAGGGAGAAGTCCCAGCTTTAATAGTTGTTTGCTGCAGTCTGCACATGCTGACCAGGAGAGCGTGTTGTCTAGCAAAGGCCATTCAAAGCCTGCAATGCTCTGCCCACCTACCAGCAAATGCTGTGGTGACTTGGGAGTATTGACCTGGAAATCCAGAAGGGAATTCAAGGCCCTTTGGAAGGATTTGAGAGACAGGGAGGAAGAAGGAGACCAGAATGCACTTTGGTTGAAACCTGTTGAAAACCTAGGGCAGAAAACAGTTTAAAAGAGCTGCAAGTGGTCAAAGAATAGGACAATTATTATTAGATAGAATTATCGGTAATAAAAAGTTTTCCGGTATCTGCCAAAAATCTGTAGGTGGTAAGGATACATGAATTCACTGCTGACACACAGCTTCTAATATTACACAAAGCTGAATATAAATCCTTAGAAGAACTTTATGACCTTGAGAGTCATGGAGATCTTTAAAGTACTGTTTTTTAATGTATGGGTGTTAGACTTCGTTCCACCTCAGAACTTAAGTCATTAAGTTAAAAACCTGAAAGGAAACTTATTTTGAGTTTTCCAGCCTGAAGGACAGTGAGTACAGAAACTTCTAGTTTTGAAGGTATGGTTTTCAGACAGTTGTGTCCAAAGACAAGGTTAGAGAGATAAGTGTTTTTCAGTTCTATGCATTCATCCATGTTAATTGGTTACTCCAAGTATAATAGTACACATGCAGATTTTTAATGAAGTGGTATGTGGTGATATTTATTTGTAATGCAGCCAAGTTAATTTCAGTTGCTTTGCTAATATGAGTAGGAAATAGCATTAAACAGAAGTGAATAAATAATGGCAAGTAAAAAAACCTTTGCTCTAATGCATATTTAGCATTTCAATTGAGGTCAGGCTTGCAGCAGTAGCATCACAGATGCTTGATAGAAAAATGTTGACACTTGAATCTAATGTTCCTAAATATTTTTTTAACTGTCATTGGTACAGATTCTTTGGCCAGTAGCATAAACACAGTGGTAAGCAATTCTCTTGATTTCTCTTGCTTGGGATTTTACATTTTTATGTGCCTGCAAACAGGCACAGAATTTGATAGCAGAGAAATATGGCACTTGAAGTATTTTAAAGGCAGTGGTTTTATTCATTGTGTTTCAAAGAATTTCATATGAGGAAAATAAACAGACCTATCTCAAGTGTCTGTCATGGTATATTTAGAGTAGGTCAAGATAGTGAACTTAATAGCAAAGCAGCAGTTACTTTGGAAGCTTTCTGCTTATATAATAAAATAATTCTCTTTCACCCTGAACAGTGCCTTTAGAAAAGAGAAAGGTATGACACCACTTACCCTAGAAAGCCCTTCACTTACTGCATACCTAGATGCAATTTTAACATGTGATCCTGCATACATATGGTGAGTCTTACAATGGTGAACTTCAAGCTGTAATGGTTTGGTTATTCTCTTACCTATTTTTGATTAATTGCTAATAAATAAAAAAACCCAAACCTCTCAGCAAAATCTGAAGCACCCTGGCAGTAACCATTCATCTTCATAAATATTTGCCTGGAGTTTTCCAATTGGAAGCTGTTTATGGTAATATGGAAGACTTAGGGCTGTTCTGAAGTGTTTTTTCTGCAGTACTTTTTACAGACAATATGCAGAAACATATGGCCAGCCTCATGAGCGGTTTAGTTGTGTACATCAAGAAATACTGCTGAGGTTGATCTGTCCCTATTCAGAGATAAACACTTCCACAAGGGAAAAAGGCAAGCAAAAAGAAGGATGAGAAACACTTAAGAACTGAGAATAGGAGACGTTGGCCAGCCAGCCTTAGGGTTTTTTGCTCATGGGTAGTTGTCACTGGGGAATTACTTTGAAATCTCCTGTTAGTTTTTAAACATAGTCGAATTAGTAGAAAGTAAATGTGGTATTGTGTAAACCAGAAGAATTGTTGGTGCTAGCATTAAAAAATACCAAAATATTTTAGCTGTGTGCAGATTGTCAAGTGAATTCCTGTACACAGTTGGGTGGAATTTATTGCTGAAGCAAAAATCTTAGGTGTGGCCTTTGACAAGGTTGCAAAAGATGCAATAAATTATAATTTATTATGGAACGCTTTACCAGATAAGAAAACGGATGAACTATACTGCAAATATATCAACTGTCATCCAGCCTAAGTGATCTTGAACCCTGCCAGGCAGATCTTAGTTCACTACCTCTGGTCATTTATTTCCTGGTGCATGGGTTTCTCTATTATTCATTTTCTTTAAAATAGGCAGAAGTTGTGAAATATTGGCATTCCTGTTAATTAAATCACACCTTCAAAGTTATTTACTGTGAGGGTGATAATGAAGAAAAATATTTACTGTACTGCCATGTAAGGAGAATGAGCTGATAACAAATGCAGAGTCCCCTGACAGACTTTTTGTTCTGCATATTGACAAAGCAAAAAGTTCTATAAAGGAATAAAGACACTGTCCAAAAAAAATGTGCTTGCTTTTAGAGGCAGTGCTTCTAACACCAAGTTACTCTGTAGACAGGTGCCCTGTTCTATTGCTGTTAGTTATTTTATGAAAGGAAGCAGCCACCTCTTCATAAACAGTGACAAACAGTAAATGAGATGTGGTAGTGTGGCACAGCATTTGTGCCAGTGCAAAACTAATATGATAGCATTTTTTTTCTACCAGTTAGTTCAGTGCATACTAAATGCACCATTGGGGATTTTGGATTCATGGCTATATGCCATGTAATCTTGTGTTAAAACTGTTACCACAGGGATGTGTGGCAAACCATTGAAAAACCAAGTTCTTCTGTGTAGTCTGTGGGATATTCATGTAAATCATCATACCTGATGCAATGATAGTTTAGTGAAAAAGTGTTCCTGTTACTGTTCTTACTGTGATGTAAAAATACTTCACAGTGTCTAGTAATGTGATGTAAAATACTTCACAATATCTAATATAAATAATATAAACATGATGTGTTGCATCAGAAATTCTGGCACTTCTAAGATCACAGGTATGGGAAGAATAAATTATTTTATCCTTCCCATACCTGTGATCTTAGAAGTGCTAGAATTTCTGCTGATTTACACAGAATTTTCATTGCTGTGCAAGAGCATTTTCAAGAGACCCTTCATGTAAAATTTGTGTCGTAGACAGTTGTGCATACTTAGGCTCATATTCCAGATTAGACAACTAATACTGTGTTAGGGCTCTATGGAAATACCACCACTGATGTGCTGTTGCAGAACATACATGAAAATCTGTATTAGTTTTTGAAAAGGACTGCAAGAGTCCTTCAAGAAATGAAGATGTTGCAATGCATTGAATCTGAACTGTGCTTATGTTCATTTTTTTTTCTGGAGAAGATTATTTTATTCCTCTTCCAGGTAGAAGACAAACCTTCAGGTTACCTTGTCTGATAACAATTGGTGCTTGCTAAATAAAGATCTTGATCCTTCTATATCTGCTCAGTCAAGATTTAATGTGTTGTAGCATCTTCATTCATTCAGCTGCAGTAAAAGAGATTTTGCTGTGTTCTACAGTACCAGGGTACCAGAGGCAGTATTTCCATGGCAGACTCCTATCTGTCAGTGAGAATTAGTGTGTTGTAAGTTCCCTTGGAGAAGTTGTTGGAGTTGGTTTAGCTTTCTGTGGGAACACGGTGCAAAGTTGTGGTGTGTTTGCAGGCTTGATATGATGTGTGGCTTCCTGTCACCGCATCAGCGTGGTCATGGCTGTGAGGGAATCTGAGGAAAGGACACAGTGCAAGGCTGTGGTGGCTAAAAAATTGAGTTCTCCTTTGTCCTTAGTTGAGGTCAGTGCTGGTGCAGTCAGTGGTGTTAGGAGGGCCAAGAGGGACCATGCAGTAGATGAGCACTTCAGAATGAGCTGAGTCAGTCTTCTTATTTTTGGGTCTTGAGTTTTTTGCCTTTGGCAGGAGTTCAGATGCCTGTACTTCAGTGTCTTCATTTTGACCTGAATTTCATACACGATAGCTAATCAGACTGATGTGAGTCATGCATCAGTGTCAGATCTAAAATCTAGGATTCAGAGTCAAAGAATAAGATTGAAGCTTGTATAAATGGAAAAGCTTTATATGGGAAGTAGGGATTGAAGTGTTGTATGGGGAGCCATTGAAACAGCTGGGAACTGAATTCAAT